GTATATATGTAGATTGAGTCTTCCTGGCCATAATTGTAAAATCAGACACTAGAACGCAACTTAATTATTTAAATACGGATTGCTAACATTAAGTAATATTAGACTTTTAAACTTACAAACGTTTTCAATTTTTTTTGGTGTCCTTGTTTTAACTTGAATTACTAACGAATTTGGCTTTGCTGATACCTTTCTCAGTTTCAGCAGAAATAACACTACCATTTGAATGAAAACACCTTTACTAACATATGAGATAGCGCTGTGCAAAAATCGAAACACGACACAATTGTACTCCGCTTCACGTTATAAGAATAGAACTCTACAGTTGTATGCAAACAGATACAGACACAATGGCGGAAGCTTGTGGTCCACGCAAACCAATTAACTACTACCGCCAGTAAAATAAAAATCCACCTTAACACTATTGAAATAGAAGCTAAACACTAGGAAAAGTGTAATGCGGTGTTTGCTTACAAAGAGTTGAATTACGTACAGTTATTCCGAGCTGGGGAACCTGAGACAACTTGGCATGAAGAAGTACATAGTACAGCGGAATAGTTTCATCATTTTTTATGTTCATTCTAAGCAACATACCAATAAAACATGAAGATAAAAACTGACCCTTCGACACTGGCAAAATTATTCAAGTTACCCTTATCGTTAAATTAAAATCATACAAAAAAATATCATCTGTAATTAGCTCTTTCTAAGGAGAGGCTTATGTCCAGCAGGGGACTATAAAAGGCTGTTGATGTGATGTGATGATGTGAAGTAGCTTTTGATAAATTATTTCGCAGTCTTATTCGATATTAGGATGAGCTAAATACCATTCTGGTGAAATGTTTACTTTGGAAATCGCGTTATCTCTTTAAATCTTAATTGTATTTTGTGTCCAAATCCGCTAATGCTTTACAGAACAATTTTTCTTTCAGTGTTTTCTATTGCGTAAACAGCTTAATCGATTCAGTGAAATGGTTACTGGAGTAATAAGGAAGAAAGGTATTACGTAATTTTTTTCCTGAATCTTAAATACCAGTGAGATATTTTATCAAAGCAATATTATTAGAGTACTTTGATGTATGGATTTTTGTATAATTTCATAGTCAAATAAATAAATAAAAAATAGGAACATGAGATTCAAATGGAATCACGAATGCTCGCCTACTTCGATTGCGAAGAAATAGAAAGTGGAATCTATAAAAATATACATTAATCATTTTACCATCATCTGTATAATTTACTACGTGATCATAAACACTAGAATCGATTAGCTGAAAAAGAAGGTTATATATTTAAAGAAAACCAATTTTGTTAATGCAAGGGTTATTAGTTTAATAAACTACCTACTAACTTAATTTTTACTATTAATTGAGCACGTAACATAAGGCGTAGCTATACTTCCTGTAACACTAATCAATAATATAATTAATCATCGTTATAACGTTACACTATCAACAACGCCCTAGCAAACTAAAACTCCAAAATAACCCACAAGGTCGAGAAATTTATCAAAAAGTTCCACGTTATCGTGCTTGATTGGCGCACGGCATGCCAAGTTTCACTCTATAAATAAATTTACATTAATCTTGAGAGTATTTTTAGCATTGTTTTGGGTTATTTTTGGCGTTATAACCTATTAATATTCTTCAATATTTAACAAATGAATGACGCCTTTGGCAACACATTTAAATTTATCACGTGAACTACTAACGTAATTGCCTAATTTAAACAATTATGTTTTTTGACTTGTTCAGTATTTATGCCATATAAATGGATTTCACAAAAATTGCTTGATGCTTTGTCAGTCCAAAATACAAAAGAACGATCTTTCTACCCAGCTAAACATTGACTATTTCATAACTGTTTGATTTTGAATTAAACTTCTTGGAAAGAAATATATTATCCATGGAAATTGAAAATTTCTATAGATAATATATTTCTGCTATCATAATTCGTAAATATTCTTTAATTATGACCACGGTAACAGGCTGACTGTGACCACGCCCAGAGCAACCTGGTTAAACTTTCTTAAAAGTTCTTCATATTATATAAATACGCCTTAATTCCCGTTAACACACGGTATCATAGCACGCAAAATTCTAATAGCTAGCAAGCATTTACTTTTTTCACAATCTGAATATGCTACGTTTTATTAGACAATCTTTGAATTTTTTAAGTGACGAATTTAAAAAATTGATGTTAATAAATCAATCTTAGTACTATAGTTACTAAACTTGCAAATTCACATCCAAAGAAATAAAATCAAAACCGATGATTCACGATGTATTGCATAATCGTGAAACTGCTATTATAAACCCGTTAACCGATATCATTGCAGTAAATTGCAGTTACGTTACGTTACATGTGAATACACGTTTCATGTTGATCATAAAAATGTTACTTGTGGAATAAAACTGCGATCAAGAACAACACATACGTTTCTAGCAATGTAACGCGTTCTCGTAATGAGCATAATTGTTGGTGATCTCTGACGTCTGACTCATTTGTAACAGATTTAAAAAAGGAGGAGTTTCAATGTTCTCAATTTGGTTGTTTTATGTTGTTTGTCACCTTGGTAATTTCTTTTTTTAATTGAGAAAATAAATTCCCGCTTCGTCTCATTCTAATTTAAAGAAAGACTACCACGCCTAGAGCTGGAAAATTAAGGATTAAAAATACAGTTTATTACAATTAATCATTTTGTGGGCGCATTGAAGTTGATGATACTTTTTAAAAGATAATTAAATAGCAAAGAGTCTACAATAAATATGTTATAATTCATGCTTCAAAGTCTCACTTTTTGGTGTTTGTAAAAAGACAACTCCCGAATTAGGAATATGTTCCTGTGTCGCGGGGGACTTAACAAACATACTTGATACGGACACAAAGAACACCCAGATTCATAACAACAATTTGTGGATCATACAAGTGTCGTCCCACGTGGGGATCGAACCCATAACACTCAGCGTAGTAGTGAGCAGCGTGGCGAACGCTTAAACCACTACACCATCCATGCTGTCTCTCTCTTCTCTTCCAAAAAGTCTCTCGTATTTATCACTCTGAGATTTTAAATTGCTTGAAGAAATGTTTTTTATTCGCTATAGTTCTCCTGATTTTGCCTTGGTGAAAATTACCTCAGTATCATAAGGCCGCATACAATTAATGAAATGAATTAAATTACTTAATGCAGAATAAGGATATACGCAAGTGTTCTGTTCAAATAAAGTTGACTCCTAGTCTTATTTAAAGTTGAAACGCTGAGTCATATGTGTTTCGCTTGCCATATGTTCAATTGTCGTGACTACGTCCCAAGGCCTATTGAATGCTGCACTTAATAGAGCGTTATCTTAGATAATTATAATCGAGTACATTTCGGTTTAACAATTTATATTTAAGATATAATAACCTTAAACGACTATTCAGCAAACTAAGACTGGTGGTTAGCGAAATAAAAGATATTACCAATCTTTATTCCTTGATGCAATCTTAAGCTCTCTTGAAACTTTCACGATTGCGGACACATATTGTATTAATAATGCAATACTTGACGTATCATCGTACCATTTGGTAAAAAATATTTTCGATTTTAATGTATTTCCGTCATGAATTTGTCTTGTGTCGTTGCTTCTTGTGTGTTGATTCAACTGTTGGTGGTGGTATTGGCATCTCTTTCAGGTGCGGTCGCAGCTGCTTTGTGTCGCTACAAGGGTTTTATGGTGAACGGTGACTATGTTCCCACTTATACTAACAATGTTTTGTCTCTTTCTTTCCAGATGGATCTATCCACCCGTCTCGCTCCATCGTCCCGCGGAATGTTTCTATCGTGGAAGTGTTTTGCATTGTTTTTAATTCTCGGAAACTTTGTTTCTATCTTGTAAATGGAAATGGGATCACTGCACGTTTGTATTTGAAGATATATCTCATTAATTGTTTCTCTTGTTACTACTATCTCTATCATTCTGACACAAATAACTTTCATCGACACGGCAAGCGGTGATTCTTATCGACTATCGTGTCAATAAACTACATAGTAACAGTACTTATTCGTCTATCTTTAGACCTATCAGTATACAGATAAAGGCATTGAGTTAGTTCGATTTTATTACTTAAGAATCAAATTTATTCTTAATTTATTGTTCTGTATAAAATTAATTGCATAAATCGCGCATAGTTTGATTGAAACGGAAGTTTTGTTTCAGTAAGACCAAGAAGTGCTTACTTTTCTCCTTTAGTTAATTTCGTCTTTACTCCTACTGTTAAAAGGTTTAAATTTGCTTGGACTGTCTAACAGTCGACTATAATTGTGTGAGGTGTTTCTTTTAGAAAAATGTCTCATTATGGTCGTTTTGGGATTTCACTTTTGCCACATTCATCTTATTTTCTTTGTTGTTAGATAACGCAATAGTCGTCCCTAGCTTCCCTTTTTTTTTGTCTTGGTACTCGTATATTTTCTTATTAGACCTGTTTAGTTCTTGTTTGGAGGTTTTCTTTGTCTAATTGTACAATTTGACGTAACATACACTTTTTCCATTACATTTACCTTTTCCAATTGTTGGTTAGTTACTGCGTCTCGATTACCTCCAAGGTCGAGTTCCATAAACCGAATTAATTATTTCATCGATTGTAGGTCTTCCCATACGGCTATTTGAAGGGTGACCGTTGTTCGTAAATATTATATGCGATTTCTCATTTTGACGTCAGAGAACCGTATTATCGATCGGATTTAAACCGTATGTTACCTATGTGGGGTAGAATTAGTATTATTGGTAGCAATCAATACAAGTCTAATTCAAAATCAGTTGGTATCTGTTCGACAATGCGAGCCAGATTATTTATTTAGTTGATAGTGCGTCAGTGAATTTATTCCTTTTTTTCTTTTACAGATATTATATTTAAAATCTTATAAGTAAACTTTAAAGTGATACAGTAACTTACTGTGATAGACTTTAATTAGTATGTACTAAAGCCTAGTGATAGTACCAGTGAAATGTCCTCTGATTAAAATGGAAAGAAAATTAACACGTGAGGACTTCATGAGGAAAAGCTTTAGAGCGCCGAGGGTCACGCCGGCCTCGGAAGGACAAGAACCTAGCGTAAACGGTGCACCGCCACCATCACCAGTCTCACTAGCCATGCTGGAGCGAACACCTCTAACGCCACGAGCCCAGTATGAAGTCACTACGTCCGGAATAGCTCCTAAGCGCCTTGAAATCAATAGAGCTCATCCTATCCATCTGAAATCATTCCAGTCGTCTGACCCGCCAGATGACAGTAATAATACAGCAGCACCTTCAGACGATGTTCTTCGAAAATTGGAACGACAAATTGGTGAAATGGAAAGAGGGCTCGAAAGAGCACAGAATGGCAACGTCTCCGTGGACGAAAGAGTAAGATATGCTGAACATGAAAATCTATTACGAACAGGCGTATCTTCTGTAGGGGGTGGTGGGTACCTTCCTGCTGATTCCGATACAGAGCACGATGTTGTTCCATTTAACAGAAATGAAAGTACACGGAGCAGTACTGGAGGAACTACTCCAGTACCGCGACCAGCCACACGATTGGCAAGAACGAATTCTGACACTCAGCAATCCGTTGCTGCCACTGCTAGACTTATGAGGAAGTTAGCAGACGGCGGCAATAAGGGAGAAGAAAAATCAAAGAACATAACAAGAAAGGCTATACAAGCGAGAATGGAAAGAGTTAAGAATTCGGTGGTGGGAAAAAATGAACATAAGGTTCTGGCTGAACATAGAAATGAACCATCATCTACAAGGACACCCACTTCACCTGTCTCTCAAAGGGCTTCTGTTCAGGTAACAAACATTTACTTCTGTATTGTGTCCGTCCAAATCGTCATCAGGTGGAACTTTTGGAACTCAAAATAGAAAATGAGTGTTAATACGAAAAGTCCAAGTGTGTTATTACCTCTTAAATATTGATACAAATCGTTGTACTACTTTTAAATGGTGTTCTACTTGTAGTTTAACCTCCGGCCCAAAACAGAGTTTAGAAAATCATTCCTTGCCACGTTAAATTTATACATGTACACGTTGAGTGGGCGTTATCACTCCTTTATATCGGCTAGCAGTTTAAATATGGTTGTAGAATTAAACGTTATTCGTTTTGATTGAAGTTGAGATTACATTATTAGATTATTATTATTTTAGGATACATTTATATCACATCTGAATTTTGACAAACAAATGACAAACGATTCTGGCATTCATTATATTATTCAATGACAAGTGAAATATGATATATTAAATTTTAAGCCGTAAGTGCAAGACCCTATCAGATATTTACATAAACATGGCGATATTTTTAATGTAAGGTTAGGTAAAGTTGTCTTCACTCTTAGAGACGTAATCTGTGACTAAATCCGTCCTTCCGTCTTTTTAGTTTACTTGTTTCTGACATAAAAAAATCACTATAGCATTAGCAATGGTTACAAACTGAAGTAATACATAAAATAAAATGTCATAAATGGGATAAATAGCACAGTATCAAAGATCGTCTCTAAGGATCTGAGCGAGCGTGGTTAAATATTGGGTTGTATCTCTATTGATAATAATGTTAGCCGCGGTTCCACGGGGACGTGACTGATATTGTTTCTTTCTACACGTATCTATAGGCGACCTAGATAATATGAAAAAATATGTTCACGAATTCTATGGAGACTGATCAGTCAAGCAAAAATAACAGAAACTAAAATTTTCAATAAGAATAACAATTCTAATTAAGTATCAATTATTTGAATGAAAAATGAATGTTGTTATTTTGTTTAACAATAATACTTAGGCATATGGTTAGTTGTCAATTTCAGGTAAAAGATAAAAATTTCAATACACCAAACACATCGTCATGATCGTCGAATAATGTCGGTTTTGAAAAACATACGGAATTCACTTTTTACGATATTTGGATACTACATTGTCTAAATATTATTACTACGTTCAAAAAAAAGTTATATGTGTTTTAGATTTTAAATTATTTAGTTATTGTTTGATAGGCGCTCAAAGTAAAATGACCCATTTGATTTGTCTAGAAAATTTTACAATTAAGTATTAGTTATTGTATATCATTTTAAAACAAACCCTATTTTTCACTTGTATGCCAATTTTCATAATTACAGATTTAGAATTTAAAAAGTTATGTCAAAAAAAACTAACACAATTTCTACTGATAGTTTGGAAACGAAACTTTTTAAAGGTAGTTTTGAAAAATTTGTAACGAAGTTTCATATAAATTTCCAATCCCCATTTTGCATCCTTGGGGGTGCAACTTTTTTAAATCCTGTATTAGTCACCTATGTCACCTTAAGGAACATTTTTGCAATTGTGTAAGGAATATTTCTAGACCCTTCTGTTTTAGCTGTGCGTTGATTGATCAGTTAGTGAATCAATCGGTCAGTTCCTTCTTTTAAATATATAGATTAAAACAGAACTGAACCAAACTGTCGCCTGCATATCAGTATAAGCTTAACATATTATTTACCTTAGCACCGATTACACCTTAACAGATATACAATAGTACATCATGTAGCAATGTCTGTGATAACCTAATCTGATATGAAACCATATATAATAACTAGCTGACCCGCTCAACTTCGTCTGCGTCTCTCTATAAATTTTCTCCGTTTTTGAAACATTCTTCATTGGTGCTCCGCTCCTATTGGTCTTAGCGTGATGATATATAACCTATAGCCTTCCTCGATAAATGGGCTATCTAACACTGAAAGAATGTTTCAAATCGGACCAGTAGTTCCTGAGATTACCGCGTTCAAACAAACAAACTCTTCAGCTTTATAATATTAGTATAGATAAGTCTCTGTCTGGAAACCATTTTGATGGTTAGAACGGACGTCATGAACATATTATCATGTAATAATGGGACTGAATTAAATGTGTCATGCGGCAGAGTTTGTTCACCTGATGTGAATGACAGCCAAAGCCTATTTAAACTATTGTTAAACAAAATTATGTTTATACGAACTTTTTAGGTATATGTAATTGTTTTATTCAAAAAAGCTGTTCGTCACTTAAAACCTAGTTCTTTAGGCATAGTGCGACAGCTCTAATTATACGACTAAAGACTTAAGAATTTCGGTACAATAAAACATAATTTAAAAGGTTCGGTTTCACAGTTACATGCACCCACTCCTAATATAAGCTTAAACTTAGTTGAAATAGAGACTAATTTGTGATACTAGTATAACTATAAATAATATTAACAATACTTATACATAAATCCAACAGATAGGAATATGCACGCTGTATTTCTAAATCTTATAGATAAATTACACCCAGACATAATAAAAATTATTGAAATCACATTATTTGTCCTGGGTAATAGAATCCCGGCTCTGACCCTTTGGCTCAGAAGTCATGTTCACTAACGACTAGACCACCAGCGCAAGCTATAAATGTTAAATAAATTTTATTTTAAGTTGTAAAACGGAAACTATTGCGTATTAATTTATTGTCTAAAATATTCCTTTGTTCTTTTTACACAGTGAATGTATTATAATGTCTTTTATTTTATTTTTACAGGTAAGCACAGTACAACGATCAAATTAATACATAAATCATTAAACGCGTGTCGAAGACGACGATGAGGTAAGGTCTTATAAGATTTTTGCAGTTTGTTACAAGATTTGTCTGTCATATAAACAATTGATGAAGTTTTTTTTTAAGCAAAATACATATTTATCCAGAAAATATAATAGACTCCTTCAAAAATTTATTCGTTGTATTGTCGAAGTAGAATGAATTTACGTCGAATCTCAGCAGGTACATATAGGCCGGGCTTATCTAATAAAAAGTGGCAGAATTTACGTGAATTTTCCGGAACAAAATCGTACCTTTTAGAATACATTAAATTTTGGAATGTTACTGGGACAATTCCCTGAAAGCGTTTATTAGTTCCACCTCTCTTAACTTTAGCAATTGTAATATTACATCTCACTCTAATAACACTATGAAGAAGCATAACTTCCTCTTTTCATACGAATGACTGACTTAATTAGATTATTTGTAATGTCCGTGTCAAATGTGCGTAAAGTATTCAAATGTTTGGAATCGAAGGTCATGGAATAATGTGTTGCGGCTTGCATGATGAACAGCGACAGGCTGGCTGCTAAGGAATGCAAAACGCGTAACTCTATCCTCAATTCGTCCACTGAATTATGCGATGGCGGTTAAATTGAGACGTTTACGTAATTGATGTAAATTGTTATGGGGAAGTCATTTGTTTGGGCTTGAGGCGGCGCTTAAGTGCAAATACCAAAGTTATTGTTCAACTTAACATACAAAACAATTTTCAGTCACATAACAATTTAAAATTCTCATAATTCTTGCCGCTGTGACGACGCCTGAAATTTTTACTTCTACTCGTATATTAGGTTCCAAATTTAAATACCACATTACTGTTAGCAGATGGACAGAGCAAATACTACAGTAATATAATAGAGATGTTTTATGGTTTGTCACTTGTACAATTAATATTTAGGTTAAGCATTACAAACCGGGCAAAATCAATTAACATAGTACGCCTTTTTTTCTAATGAGAGGCCTATGTCCAGCAGTCGTGTTTTAAAGGGTGTTTATGTGTTGTGTGATTCTGTTAAGCCACAAAAGCAAAACAAAAAACTGATGACACATGTCCCTTACGACACTTTTATTTGTGTAAGTAGGTATATGAAATAATAACGTTTAATTATTGTGGCTTAATTATGGCTTAATAATGCACATAATTGTTACCAAGTTCCTTCGAAAACCATAATTTTCTGACTAATTGTCAATCTCTGATCTTTAATTAAAATTATCTTGGTATTGAAATGATCAAGAAATAATTTTGTATACGACAATATACAGATTTCTAACACTGAAGTAAAGGTTAAATTTTGTGCAATAAAGTCGTCCCTCTTTTATAGATACATAGATAAAGACCGTTTCACAGACTGAAGGTCTTGAGATAGTGCCTAATACTATAATTGTAACTAGGAAAAGAGATAGGCTGCTGTCAATATGGCATACTAAAATATAACCAGATTTCGTTGTCGTGGTTGCTACGCAACACACACACACAATTATGCAACACGTAATGTGTATGCAATTACACTACGCATTTGCTAATGAATTTTCTTAATACATTTTTTCATGTTTAGCATATGATTTCATTGATAGTGATTTCTCATCTTGCCATTCCTTAATGCCTGAACTATATGCTTACTGCACACCAGTCCTTGTACCACCACTCAGTTGTACATAATAGAAGAGGATAAGCAAACCGCGATCGTCATCTAAGTAGGTCGGTCGATAGAATTTAATGAGCCAATATTCAAACCTTGACATGCTGACTTGCCTGCAGTTGTGTTCTATTTCCATTTGTAAGGAACCTTGCTTTATTACTTCTCAGTTATTCATTAAATATATTTTTTGTTGGGTACGTAGGCTATATTGTCGGTACTAACAAGACGCTGCCGCGCTGTTACTATGCACCTACAGATGGTACCATTTGGCAACTAGCTGAATATAACGAAAAATGTGGTCATAGTTGCTCGATTGTTGACGTGCTTTTGCCTTTAGTTGCATAGAAACACACTCTTTTGACTTCATATCCTGTATTTATTACATGTACTCTTTAAAATTACTTGACACTGTTGACAACATATTTTGCACCAGAAGTCAGTATAGACGAGGCATTTCTTGTGAACTTACCACGTCAGTTGTGAACTTAATTAAGGTCTTAAGATGCGCGTTTTTTATTCCCTTAAATGTTAGTGTCACTAGTTGGTGTCACTCGTTGTACTATT